TAAAAATTGTTTCCTTTCGCAAAACTGCAATGGAAACACTTTTTTCGTATCACGAATCACATGATCAACAACTGGATGTTGCCGCTGGTGCAAATCATGAAGAAGATGACAGGAAGTAGATGGAGGAACCACGGCACAGCATGTTTTTTAATGGCATTGCATGAATAAACTTAATCAAACAGGATTTAAATTGTGCTTCTTATTTAATGGAAACACCACAATTGCAAAATTGTGTTTTTTGTTTTTTTACATTAGCAGAATACTGACAAAGTTTTGTAATGGAAACACAGCTTGTGTCTGTTATTTGCAATAGAAACTAAATTACCTAAGCTAAATCTGTTTTTCCTGTATAAGGGAAAATGTAGTAACTCTCTTTCAGGCAATTGCAAATGAGTGCAAAATGCTCATTTTTAATAGAAACAAAAAAAGTGTTTAGTTTCATAATTGCCAAATTTAGAAATTTGTTTATGAAAGTGTTTGTTCACATGATAAATGAACAAGTTCAGCCACAGAACTGCCTCTCCTCAGTTGTCAGTGTCTCATTGAGGCATTGGAGCAACAAGCCCCTTAAACTTGGGAGTGACTACATATTCAAAACTGTAGTCTGCCATTTTGATTGAGCTATGGATTCAACACTTTGGAATGACAAACTCCACTGTAGATGAGTTGTGTGATTCTGTGAGACCACCGGTGGAGCCAGATGTGTATTGTCCAAGCTGGATTCGCCTATTAAGAGATGTGATGCCAAAAACGTTTCATACGGAGTCTGTCTGGTGACATGGGAGAAAATGAACAATTTGTGCTTGTTATAATTATGTGGTTCCCACAAAATAAACAAGTCATTATCACAAGATATTAGGTCATGGCCATGATTGTTTTGTTTTTTATGTTTCTCCCATGTCAGTAGGCTGGCACCATAATTTCCATTACAGTCTTGGTAAATTCACCAAATACAATATGGCTGAAAAACCACTTCATCCTGCCGCAAAAACCTTTTTTCATATAAAACGTTTTTTTTATTTTTTATTTATTCTATTGAGCATATTTATTACGGAATTCCAATTTGTGCAGTTTTATGATCAGCAGCTAGTAATGCACAGCAGAAAGAGGCTCTGCAGGTGTATACTCTAACGCTGGAGAAAACTCAATTTACTCCAACACTTCCTTTGACATCTCATTATAAACCATATAGGGAAAAAAATCTGTTTTGAAATTTCACAACCATACAGGTCTCTGGTTCAAAGCAGATTCATATAAAATTGAGATAAAATCTTTCAATAATAATGCAATGAGAATGATCAATAGTTTTGCTTTCATTTACTGATTTTATTGGTATTGTTTGTTTTTCTTCACTCAGCAGGCTGTGTCTTTGTCCAAGCTGGATTGTCTAGTTATAAATGTGAACTGGGTGAGCTGGGATCGATGAGCTTATTAGATGGACCAACTTCCCCTTTTGTCTTATCAGCCTGATGATGCAGAACACGCTGTGCAGTTCCCCTTTTTAATGGTCAGCACACAAAAACACTCATGAAAGAGTAACTCATCTCTTTCTGTTTTTCCTCTACCCTGCTCACACACAAACCGCACAGAGACACCTTGCAATATCTTTTTCCCCCCTTCTGTCTCCATCTCTGCTGCGTTAAATAATTTAATCAGTTAACAGAAACAGCCAAGCGTTCTATTCCAGGCTCTGCTGCAGAGGGTAAATTATAACTCACTAGGTAGACGACAGCCATTACTGTAAGGAGACATATTATGGAGCCATGCTTTGTTGAGACCTTTTTATTGTTTGAACACTAACTATCCCTGCGGTGGGAAGAGGTATTGCTTGTCTTGTGAATGTTTATGCTGTTTGAGGCTTTTAAAAGTGGATGTGCAGCTTCTGAGAAGTGGTCAAAGGGAAGTTAGTTGCTCCAGACAGACCTCACCAATATTGCCAGAGATGACAGAACCCCAAAATACGTGTTTGTGCGATTCAGACACGGGTGCTGAACTTTTTTTTACACCTTTGAAGTCAATGTATTTCTTAACAGCTGGCAGACTGGTTCACTGTCTCTTCTGTGGTCATTAGAACAAAGGCAAATGTTTGGATTTGCATCAATTGCAGGCATGTATTGATGATTAAAGACCATGTCTCATGTTTCATGTTTCATGTTCAGATATGAGCTTCCTTGGTTCTGCATTTATACATATGATTGTTGTCTGAGTCCAAAATAGAAAAGAACCATTCCTGTCAAAGCACCGGTGTTACACCGATCACTGTTGGCTATGACTCCAGGTCACCGCTGGTGACTGCCACCCTGTCAGAACACGTCTTAGAGTGCAGCTTGGTTCTCACTTCCTAAGACCACTCTGACCACTCTCTCAGCACGATCCATACCCACATGGCACAAACTTCTATGAACTACCTTCACCATGTTAAGGTCCTGATGTGGACAGTCTTCTCCTCAAATTTGTTTGGGATTAGTTTGACCTCCGATCCAATGCCACGTCTTGATAACCAGTTACATTAACTAAGGGTTTTGTTGCAGAACAGGCTATGACAACCGTATGACTCATGATATGTTCTTCCCTTTAGAACGGATGGATTTCTACAACACACGTTTTATGTGTGGCACTCAGCATTGACTCTGCTTTATTCAGGTGTGCCCAGATCCAGTCTTTGAGAATTAAAATGAGAACCATTTGATTCAGGTGTGTTAAAGAGGAGTGTCAATGAAAAGCTAAAATAGAGTACTGGAGTTGGGTACCTTTGGTTTGGTTTTATCTGCACAGAACATGGCTGGCCTGATTTTTGATTTTGACCATGAGCCAGCATTGAAAAGGGATCATATCTGCAACTATATTGTATGAAAAAAAGCAGATGGCTTAATACTTCCCAAAAGGCTCAACAATCTCCTTATGAAGCAAAGTCTGCAAGACATTGCAAAACATCAACATATAAGATATATGATATATAAGTGAATAATAAAAGCAAAAACAATATATGACTCAAAAAGTACAAAAATAAAAATGAGTGATATGTTTCAAGCTTTATTTGTAAAATCCTTATTTTGTAGCTTAATATGGACATTCAGTTGTTATAACAAGTTATGTTATGAGACAATATTGTCAAACACATCCACTTTAATAAAACCAGACAATTGCCTTCCTAATCTAGAAATTCAGATATCTATAGTAAATATTGGCATAATCATATATGCTGAAGTCATTTTGATTGGTCTGTGATGGACTGAAGATTTCTCCCTGCCTCTCACCCAATATTCACTGGAGATGAGACCATGCAAGGAGAAGCAGGTGTGGATGGATGTTGAATGGTGGACCCATCGCGGCAATGTAAAGTAAAAGTTAAAATTTCCTGCAGTCCCTGTGCTATTACCCATCCTCCACTCCTCTATTACAGCCACACCGTAGTTCACTCTACGAAGCAGCCCGAGGCATTCTGTCAATGTTTGCATGTCTCTTTGACTCAGCCAAGCCTTATCTGTACAAGTGCATGTGTGTTCGAGCATACTCTGTGGCTGTGGTGGGGTGGGGGGCAATTAATGTTATAAATGCACCACCATATTAGTAGTGGTACTCAATTGAAATCTTTCATTGAGCTAATTACAAAGTTTGTAATTAATCAAAAATAAATCGCATTTTAATTGAAAACCATATTTTGACAGAATAAACATTTCCAATATTAAAAAACCTTATTTCTGCTAAATTATTGAATAAATAGACATATGAGCTCAACAACAAAGATATTTATTGTGGGCTGTGTCCCCTTAAGCATGTCCCGATTAGCGTCAGAGCAACTGTGCTGTTACTATTTGTTTAGGATTGAGATGCTATTTAAGGCTTGAATGGCTTTGGTGACAGGCAAACTTCACTATTTCCACTTTTGAACACAACAGTAGTCTTTTCCAGACTAATTATATATATATAAATAACAAATTAACAAATGATCACATATTGTCCAAACATCTAAATGCTAATATCCAAATGTGCTCAGATGACATGAAAAAATTGTTCACCAATTGTTTTTAGAACAACTGGTGAACAAAACAAGCTTATTTTGTTACACCAACATACTGTACATGGCAATATACGTAATATACGGAAACGGTAAGAAGACAAACTGATAGTACGCAAGATAATGCTTTTTATAACCTCTCACAGAACCAGACTAGAAAAAAATGCAGAATGATGTGTATGTTTGTGTGTGCTACTTCTGCATATTAATTTTCACATATATATATATATATATATATATATATATATATATATATATATATATATATATATATATATATATATATGTGTGTGTGTGTGTGTGTGTGTGTGCGCGCGTTTGTTTGTAATACCTTGTGGGGATGATTTTCCTGACATATTCTACGTTGTGGGGACCAATTGCTCCTTGTGGGGACCGAAGCCTGGTTCCCACAAGGGAAACCCTGTTTTTGGGTCAGGGGTCAGATTTAGGGCTAAGGTATGAATTGAGTTTTGGTTAGGGTTAGGGTTAGGTATGTGATGGATAGGGTTAGGAAAAGAGTAAAGGTAAGGTTTAGGCTGTAGAAATGAATGGAAGTCAATGGAAAGTCCCCACAAAGATAGCCACGCAAACATGTGTGTGTGTGTGTGTGTGTGTGTTTTATTTTTTACTTGTGTAAAAAAAAAACTGAACAAAATAAAATGTATGTAAGTTAATAGTAAACAAGAAAAGACAAACCAAAACATATAGTTGTGAAGATTTTGTTTTAATAGAAATGTATAGAGTGCCACAAAAAAAAAAAAAAAAAAAAAAAAAAGATTTTAGATTACGTAGTGTTAAATAAGGCCAATTGCTTTTACCACAATATTTTTTTAAATTATTATTAAGCAGCTAACGCCAACCCCCACCCTGACAGCACAATCCTTTCTCATACTGCGACACCCATTTTGATGTTTATGTGACTGGAGTGTGCTTCCTGCAGAGAAGAGCTCAGGCCTACCTCATTTTCGCCTGGCAGGTCAGCTGCTCTGTGTTTCAGTCTGAAGCCGTTGGCTGCTACGGAACCGTTTGGCTCTTTTCTCTACTAGCGAGCAACACTACATTCAAGACCCGACTGTACACCCAGCTCAATTTTAAGGGGATTTATCACTATATATGCCCGTATATTCAAAACACATCGCTCACTGGGGATTCCAGCTACCGGTTGACCTGTTCCGAAGGCCGTTATAACGCTCTTTTCGGGGTTTAATTAGAGCTTGAAAACAGCGGTGGTAGTGGAGGAGATTCCATATTAGGAGCACAGAGGAGAAGGCACCCCCTCCCCCCTTGTGTGATTTGGAGCTTTAGGTGAGTGTTTATCATATTTTGGCTTTATTATTGCCGTTATAACTTATAACCCGATGTGCAGCGGTGCTGTGTGAATGTCCAGTTAAGGTTTGGGCGCATTATAACGTTGTTTTCGGTGTTTATTTCAACATTTTGTTTCTGTGTGGGGGATGGGCAGCATCAGCGCGTGAGTAGGCGCGCGCGTATTGTGCACGTGTTCGCTGAGCAGTTCCCGTGTGTGGTTTGTGTTTGTGAGCGCGCCCTTCCTTCCTGCTAGCTGTAAATGAAACCCTCTGTTGTCATTTTTAACCTCAGTCATTTAGAGAATGTTTCGAACATGTAGTTACTCTTGGTGGAGTTTTGCACTCAAATTAAATGCTTGTGTTCAAGCTGGCCTTGTACTTGGCAACTTTTTGCTTTTTCAACTTACAAGATTTGAATGACTTCCACAAGGCACTAATGTGTGCATTGTCTTCACAGATAAGTCAGTTTAATGTTATATCAGGCATTTTATTGATCAAGTGTCAATAAATACATTTTTAGTAGCTCACAATTTGAAAACAGTTATCCTTGATTTTAAAGAGATTTGCTTTAAAATCTCTTAATCTCTGCTTAAGTTTAAACTAAGGTTGCACTTTGACCTAAAAAGTTTCACCATCCACTTAATTACCTTCCTTTTAGGTTGATTGAAAGTTTACTAGAGTGCAGTGCTGTTGGCGGCTTTAAAGTTGTAAGAGCAGTGGGGGAGGGGTGAATACACACAAATGTTCTCTCTCTCTCTCACACACACACACAACACACACTCATATTCATACACACACAGCTGAGATGGCCACTTGCCAACCTTGTGAATCTCAACTCAGTGACACAATGTACTAGTCCCAGATAAGCCTTCTGTAACTCTGTTACCAACTAACAGAATGTGTTTAAAGCCCACAGCATTGTGGATTTCGAACACATTAATTGTTGTGATCATGTAGCAGATATGGACATCTGTTTTTATTTTGATAATTTTAGAGGTTTAAAGCGAGTATTCTATTATTCGGTCAATTTGCACCTTCTTTTGCCAACTCATACTAATGCAGTGATGTTTTGTGCTTTCAGTAATGCTATTGTACTTGTAAACAATGTCATGCCCATGCAATTAACCAGTTGTATATGTGTTGTTTTTTGTGTAAAGTATATTCATAGCAATAAATGGTCATAGAAATGATTACATTTAGCACATAATTGTTAAAGTTAAGCAGATATTTTCTTTAAACTTTTTAGTATACAATTTTCCTATTCCTTTGGGTGTTAAAACATTTTTGAGCCAGTTGACTCTTATTAAATGAGTGATTTTGACCCAATCAACCCAAAACAAGTAGATATTGTTTGAATAGAGTAATAAAATAAATGAGTAAAAAGAAATTTTTTGTGAAATAGGTGTGCACCGATGGCAGTTTTCTGGCTGATCACCGATCTTTAAGAAGCCAGATGATTTTAGTCAATTTTTTTTGCCTGAGATGTTTCTAAATAATCCTAGTGGAAGTCCTTAATAAATAGGAGTGTAGCTATTCAACTGTGATCATTATATCTTCTGAAAGTAGGAAAGCAGGTTTCGAATTGTTGTGCCGATACTCATTTATGAAAGGCTTCCTGTCAGGCTGAATCACAACTCTGTAATGAAATTACAGAAGAAGCTTCAGCCCTGTTAACGTGGTAACAGTGACAGACAAGGTGGGAATTCTGCATTTAAGCACTCTTGGAATGCCTCAACTAGTCAGCCGCTAATTGTTAATGTTACTGAAGTTGGCATCTGCTTTGGACTTTTGAGTCTGGACTGCAATTGTGTATGGTCTAGTTCAAGACTCAAGATACTTTAAATTTATCAAATATGAACAGGATAATTAATGATGTGATTCCTTAGATCACATTTTCGTGAAACCTTTAGTCTGTGAACGATGGGGGGAAAAAACAATTTGAGTTCAAATTAAAATATGAAATAACCACCATTGCATGAAAATATAAATATATCGCTTTATTTTGAATTTTTCCAATGATTTTATTTGCACAAAAGGTTGACTGCCATGTTTTCAACAGTCTAGTGTGTGTGTGTGTGTGTGTGTGTGTGTGCTTGCATAAGAAGTGAATGCACTGGTCAACACATTGTAGACATGAGTTACCCATTGAAATGTCAGCTCACACTAAAAAGCACAGTGAGCTAATTGATCTGGGCCTTTGCAACAGTCTTGGCTCCCCAGGTGGCCCTTTGAAAAAATGAATTACTCACCACTGCTGTAAACTGAAAGATTATCTTAGGGAATCTTTTCAGTTCTTCTCAACAAGCACAGAAAATAGGGCAGGGTGTAATATTTCTTACCAGATTGCATATTGTGTATTTATTATAATTTTACAATGGAACAAATGCTACGTGTGTGAATAATTGTTGGAAAGGCCATACAGTTTTTTTTTTTCTTATTTAAATCTGGCAATTTAAGACAGCTGATGGATGGTTACTTACATGATTATGATTTGGGTTAAACCATTTCCTGGTACTGTAATAGAAATTTATAATTCTATAGAGGAAAGATCAAACACCACCCCTAGAGGGCACTGATGGCAGTTTTCTATCTCATCACCAATCTTTAAAAAGCCTGACCTGCAGATGCCAGTTAATTTTTTTTTGTCTGAAAATTTTTTTTTCAGGCAAAAAAAAATTACTTTTCAGACTAAGTCTAAAAAGTTACTAAGTATAGCAACAAAGTCACAACAGTTGGGTGACGATAGTTAACTACGCAGATGTGACCTGGTTGGCGAGTTTGTCAGTCAACTCTCTCAGCAGAGGTGGATAAGGTCGGGTTCCTCCCCCTTGGGAGGTGGTATTATACCTGTAAGACACTATGAACTGTTATGCCTCATTTCCAATGAGCAGTGTGGTTCTGGTCGGGTTGGTTTGGTACACCATTATTAAAATGGTGTACCAAATTGTTGGTCGGTTGGCCATATACAACTGACCTGCAATGGGATGGACTTAAACCATCCCATTGTAGGTCCATTTGGTGCGTTCCCGTTAGGGCGGAGCTAGTCCCAGCAGCATGAGCTGAAAGCTCAGACTATCCCGTGGTCTTGGTCTCCCTACCTTGAATGTTGTGAAAAACTGAAACAATTCCTCGAATAATTGGGGTAACTAAAATACAAAAAAAAATGTCTAGGCAAATTATCTGCTTCAAAATTTTGTTAAATATTGTAATAAATTCTGTTAAAGTGCTTAGCACACTGTGATTTAGCTGAAAGGTTATTTGTGTTGCACGACAGCGCTCTTGCTTTCACTAGAACCTCCGCTGTTGATGCGTGTATTCTAAGTGCCATTTTTAGCAATGAAGGAAGACTTAGATTAACAGAAAAAGCTGTTTTTCTTGTTACAGATTTACTAGGAGGTATATTTTGGTTATAGTAACATGTACTGACTGGTTATACTGGCTTGCTGGCAGGGTGTTGACTAAAGAGCCCAGCATGGTCGGCCTGAAGTCGAAGTGTCAATGTGTGGTCATGTGATTTTCAGACATTTGTTTTTGCACACACCTTTCACCGTCCACAAGACGCTCCAAGTCGAGCGCCTCCTTCCGCTGCTCCATGTTGTTTTACCATGTGTGATATACAACATGGTTGTAAACACAGCGATCATTGCAGAGAGCAACGATTATTACAAGTTCACAAGTTTGGAGGAGGAGGAAACTGGACTGGAAAATGTCATTTTATTTTCCATGTTATCTAAAGAAAGAGCAGAAGGTTTTGGTGTGATGTCCTCCCACTGGATCGGATGAGAACAGATCAGGGGAAGTTTTATAGTTGTGCATAAGTTTCTAATCGAATTAAGATCAGTTGGATTGTTTTATACGTTCCTGCTTTAACTCTTTTAGTTGGGTGGGAAATGATGCCTGGAGATAAGCTGATTGGCTTACAGACCAAGCACACATCTGGTCTTGATGCTCAATTCAGATTGTTTTTTTTTAACTGAAATCAGATTTTTTTTGTGTAGTTTTCAATACTTGCAATTAAATGCGACCGCAAGCAGACTTGTGTGAACGCTTTACGACCTTAAAACGACCCGTGTGCACAAAAGAACGTAGTCAAACAGCAGCACTCTGTTTATGGAATGGATGGAGCTTTCCATGGATGGATTTTAAAATTGTATATTATCGTCACTCGGTCATAACAACATGAAGGAAGCTAATGAAAAGAAAGCATAACTATTACGTTTAATGGCATATTGACTGCAGCTTCTGTAAAGAAGTCTGCTTGGATGTGAAGACAGAACCATATAATTTTCAGCCATTGTTTACGTCTGTCTTCTTCTAGTTCAGAGTTACAATGCATGTCTCACATCAATTACGTAAAAGTTTGATAAAATATAAAAAGACCATTCAGATGCATTTAAAACTATGGGGTATATTATGTCTAATTTAGTTCCATATATGGAAGTGGCAGAAATTAATAAAACAAAACAAAAAAACATTTTTTTGGAGAAAAGGCTGGATCTGGCCGTTCCGACTGCTATGAAACAGTTGGACATAGGTCACTTGTGGGCCAAAAAACCCTCAGATTTGGGTCTCTTTCTCCTGCTGTGTCTTCACCAGGCAACAGTTTCTTCTCCATATTCCTCACAGCTGCACATGTTGACTGCCACTGATACTGGAGGACATCAATCTCCCTGATGATCTTTCCAGAGTTGATTTTCTGTTTTGGAAAAACATGCTGATCACATTACTGGCCTGTCCTCAAACTAGCAACCCTCTACATTCATTTCTAACAACTCAAGATTCACTCCTGTTTCAACATTATGGAAGCAATCAAATATGAAATGGGGAAATGCTTGGATGCCATTTAACAGACATATATATATGTATATATATATATATGTGTGTGTTTGTAGGTTTAAATGTATATGCATGTCTGTCTTTATGTATGTATTTATGTTTGTATGCATATGTGCATATATTTGTGTTGTGCTTGCCTTGTTTATCAATATAGCAGATAGC